CTAAGCAACTGACCAATCACAAGGCCAGGAATATGCATGTCTCACAAACACATGTGTTATCCCATAAACACACATGTTTACATACATTTACCCTATTTTTTACGGGACCTTAGCAACCATATCCAAAAGGGAGCTTAGCTTAACGAGTCATAGTGCAGTGATCGTAATAATAATAATAATAATATGGGGTTCAATTCTCATAGTAATTTACTTGTGTCTTTGAACAAGACATTATATGTCATGTAATCCCTGTTTCATTTATTTATTTATTCCCTCTCATTCATTGATGAACATGCTCATTAGATTGGCCATATATATTGGCTATTAAAACAACAACTGGGTAACAGTCCACTTTGTTGATTCGCACAGTATTTGGAAAAAGGAAGTGTTTATCTAGGGGTTAGTCAGAATTTTTCAGTTCAGCGCTATACATCATTCACACAATACCAAAACACTGTAACATGCACACAGGCCTACCGCTGTCTCTTATACACATCTAGATGTGTATAAGAGACAGCTAAAAGGGCACGTCGTATAAACGGTCGGTTAACGCTGTGTTGTAAGGAACTGAAGGTTGTAAGAGCTATTAATACAGAAAATTTTAAATAATTAGACTGTTCACTTGTACAAAATCAAAATGTCTTACAATTTATACCCAGGGAATCCCCTTTTCAATCGCAATTCTTCACCACTGTATGCAGATGTGTATAAGAGACAGCATTAATACATTATGCTAATTTTCATCTTTGTAAGCGCATAAGACAGTGCAAATTATTTCTGTGACAGTCTTTTGAAGTGTGTAAAGCTGCATTTTATCTCATACATAGTCAAAATATTGGGGGGATGATACAATGGACCATCCCCCCCTTGTCAAATATTGGGGGGGATATATCCCCTCCATCCCCCCCGGGATCTACGCCTATGGGTTTGGGGCCCTGTGGCTTTGCCAATTCCATTTTTTTTTTTGCCATTGCATTCTTAACGAATAAATGATATGAGTGGCGAATCCAGAAAAGTTTAATAGGGCCCAGGGAGAGACTTTCACTGACGAAGGGTCACTACCACCTCAGCCCCACCATGGCTGGGGCTGAGCTAAGAAGATTTAGGATTACGGCACCTGGCCGGAAATGGCACTCACAAACTTACAAAATAAAGATAAGAGGGCCCCCTTTAATTCGCCACTGGATATATACTGTATGATATACAGCTAGTAGACGTCAGACGCATGCTGTCATGTCAAAGCCCTTTTGTATAAGGATGCTAGATCGAAGACCATGTGGTTAGGGGCCCAACCCGGGGTCGGAGCCCTGCGGACCACCGCACGAGAGCGCAGGCGTCACTTTGCCACTGGTCGCAGGTACTGCGCCGTACATCAATTTTTTTTTATTTATTTTTTATTTTTTTTATTTTTATGAAGGTGATGATGATTTCATCAATGAAGGTGCGATCCGAAGCTTGAGTCTGCAACAGTGTCCGACAATTCAATTATATTTGTTCAAATAATAAAACAAAATTAATGATGCAAAAAAACACAAAGCTCTTTTTTTTTTTGGAAAACAATTATATTTCGTCTGGCCCGGGGTTTGTCAATCCCAGCTTAGCAAATGTCTTAAGTAAAAAAGTTAAGATGTCCCTAATAAATATCTTAAACTGATTTATTACCCAATCTTAGCAAATTCTTGGTTTAAAATCGTCCTTAGATGGCGCCAACGTACAATCAACTTTCTAATTTTAAGCAATTTTTAAGCTAAGCAATATGGATAAATTTGACTTAAGCAAAAAAATGGACTTAAGACGAATTTAAGCTGATTTCTGGTTTGATAAATCTGGCCCCTGGTCCTTAAGATTTCATCAGCGTAAATTTTATATAGTTTAATATAGGCCTGTTTTTTGTTTTTTTTTAATTTAATTTATGGGAAAGTTGATAATGGTGATAATGATGCTGGTAATGATGATGTTAATCTGCAAAACGATAATCGTTAATTTACTGAAAAGGGGATTATGTTTACATTCAGCTGACGATAGAAGTGCACTGGATATAGGTAGTGGATAATGCGCCTGTTAACAATGGAATACCGTTGTATCAATACGCGTGACCCCTTTGAAAGGTCAACATCTCTCAAGAAAAGTTTCGAAAATGGCGTTCCGCATTGTTAGTGACAGGTAAACAACATGGATGTCAGGAAATTTTAGTTGTATAGTAAGAACGGCATAAGAGAATCATGTCGACGTCAGTTCAGAAATCAGGGGTAAGTATATTACGTAGCTTTTTTAAAGTTTAGATGTGGATGTTTAGCTGTAGCTAGGTTTACATCGCTGGCGAAATTCCACAGGTGGCGGAACGGTAGCGATGGTCGGTGCTGCTTGTTGTACCGCTGCAGTGTGTAGGCCTAGGTGTAGGCTAAATGCTAGTTGGTACAGCTTTAGAAACGTTAAGCCTTGCCTCTGTACTCTGTGTTCTTAGTCTAGGCCTAGCCTATTAGAAGGGCTTAACTATGTAGGTAGTGATTGTGGGCACTGTTGAATGTCGACTAAGAAGCTTTTTCTTTGATTAATAATTAAAAAGTCTCAAAATACGTCCTGGCTGATTTAGGATGACCAACTCTTCGTCCCTTTTCCTTATTTTTATTAGGCAAGGCATACTTTAGGTCCTACTATTTATTAGGCCTACTTGGTTTTGTAAGCGCAAGTAAGAAATTGACAATTTTGTTGAAACTTGAAGGAGAAGAAGATATGATTGAATATTTAAATATTTTTTTTAATTCACTGCCCTATCTTGCCCAATAATAATGAATAATAGAAGTGTTAGTGTAATAATGTAACGTTATTTCGTACCTTGTTGTATCCATTTTTTTTAAATGTGTAAATTTCAATATTTAAATATCTAAATTATTTATTGATATTTTATTATTGAGTTTTCTTTTTATATTCAAATAAATTCAGTAGACCTAAGCAGAACCGTAAAAAGTAATTTTTTTTTTGCTGGACCAAGGTCTAGTTTTGCCAAAATAATTGCCCAGCCCCAAAAGTCCCTAGACCCAGGACCATCAACTTTTTACAACCCAACACTACTGTAAACCTGACAGTAAATTCCATCTCTTCTTACTGAGAAACCATATCTGACTGTTTTAATAAGGGCAAATAGAAAAATTTATTTGATTATCATTCTTGAGATTTTAGCTCTTTATTTGTTGAACAGATCCTCAAAATCAGATACTTGCTATTTACGCTTACCTTTCATTATTTACTGTATATGGACATAGAAATACCTAATTACATCACTACGGCCAACAATGATTTAGTATTTGACACCAAAGGACTTGATATATACACGGTGGATCAACGTACCTGAAACTAAATATTACATAATATAGGCCCGACCCATTAGCCTTTAATATTCTCTTATACTGTATCAACTCTTAACCTTATAAAATATTAAACCTCCTCATTTTAATTTATGTTTTTAAAATTATTTTATCCCTTTTACATCCCACAGATGGAGGGTGATGCTTCTTTGTCTAAACTAATCTACCAATAAAATCTCTTACAGTACTAAAATTTAATGACGTTTTTTAACTATATTATATAAATATACGCATTGAGAATATCCAGTACTGTATGCATTTCTATCCATGCTTTGTTCAACCATACGATTACTGCCTGTGCTGAAAATAAAATAATAAAATCAGAAAAGAGTTTGATTTCTTAAGTGGTGGGGGGAATGTATAATTTGTTTTGAGCCATCTTTTCATTTATTTGTTGAACAGATCCTCAAAATCAGATACTTGCTATTTACGCTTTACCTTTCATTATTTACTGTATATGGACATAGAAATACCTAATTACATCACTACGGCCAACAACCATTTAGTATTTGACACCAAAGGACTTGATATATACACGTTGGATCAACGTACCTGAAACTAAACATTACATAATATAGGCACTACCCATTAGCCTTTAATATTATCTTATACTGTATCAACTCTTAACCTTATATTAATATTAAACCCCCTGAACATTTTAATTTATGTTTTAAACTTATTTTATCCCTTTTACATCCAACAGATGGAGGGTGATGCTTCTTTGTCTAAAAGGTTAAAAGATGAAGGACTTGAGAGTACCTCAAGTGATAAAGAGAAAATGCAGAAAGTATGGAAGTGGTACAAAAGAGCAGAAAATGATCTGAAGGCTGCAAAGAAAGAGATTGAAAATCTCAAGTCTCAGCAGGCACATGAGATGAAAGAGGTTTGTAACTATTGAAGTCATAATTTATCAAAAATAATCAAAGCATATCATAATTGATTTTTGATTATTACAGTATGATTATTTAAATATTTATAATAATTATATATATTTTATAGAGCTATATTTTTGGAGTTGGAAGGGTGCAACATTTCTGTTTTTATATAACTTTTTCCCCTCCTCACCCTCCCTCTTCTTTTTTGTTTTAATGTTTTTTGTGTATGTTGCTTGTAATGTTTTATGCTTAAAGGAATATAATATAATAATATTAAATATAAAATATAAATAAATGATGCAAAAGGAATATTTTAAGCAAGTTGTTAAAGGGTTCATCAAGTTAAAAATATGTTCTCCTTAACTTGCCTGTCAACCATAAAAGCAGTTTCTGTAGAATATTCCCTATGTACTGGAGCGGGTATTTTCTTTTTTTATAAAAGAATGTCAGGGATGCGGTGCCTATTACATACATTCAGTTAAACTTTTTTTCAGCTCGATTTGCACTCACTGAATCAATACTTCCTTTCCTTAGTAACAGCATTCTTCATTTTAATATTTAATGATGATCTTTCAATTGACAGTTTTCTAGCTGTTGAAGAAAACACTCATAAACTAACTATTAATTCAAAAACATTCTTTATAATTAACCCATGCTGGACTCTATTTTGTTTAGTCAATCGTTTTTACATTAAACAGCCTCTAAATTTTTGAGGAATGATTTTGTTCATCCATATTCCATTTCAATAATTATTCATTGTATAATATTATATTCTGCAAATTATTTATCAGATTTTAGCTCTGACACTGATACTCTTCCTTGGATAAATTTCATCCACCTTCCCATGCTTAATAAAACATTTATCATTTTAATAAATCTGACATCCAATCTTAAGAATGTATAGTTTATTGCTTTTGAAAAGAATACCACTTCCTGTAAACTAATTTGGAAAATCGATTACACATATAACCCTTCCTGAACATCATACAACTTCAGTCATTCATGTTTACATTAAACGTAAGGAGGAGAATTTAATTTCCTTTTAGTTTTACCTGGGTTTTTGCACTTTTTGTCATGAAAATAACTTCCTTATATTTTTTTTTGAAGATCAATACTTACCTGGTAAACACCTGATCAAACTTGTTAATTAACAGACTCTTTGTTGTGATTTCCACTTAAAATCATAATCAATTCCGTATTATTCTCATCTTTCGTTTACTTGTTATTAATTGAATGTCTTGTCAGCTTACAGATGATCCATCTGTCGTTATCCCGAAAAACAGTAAACAATTTTATAAAAAAATTTATTGTTCCTAAATGGATCTTAATTATCAGATTAAAATTACTGGAAAATATGTTATTGCTCAACCTAAGCTTAATAGAGTTTAGGAATGATATTAATGCATTCCTAATTGGTTTTTCATGTTCTAATTGTCTATTGACAGCTAATTGACTTGAATTATAAATAAGAAATTACATTTTTTCTTTCTCAATACAAACATTGTCTTACAGTACAGTGACATAGTTATAAATGTAAACATCCTGACCTTCCAATCTCATGATTGTCTGAGAAGTACTGTAAGCCTAGGGCCTGTGATTAAAATTATATCCAGACTCACTCATAGATCTGTTTTTCTTTTCTGGTCCTCATTCCTTTCTAGGTTGAGAACTATGTGGAGCATATAAGGAGCTTATCGGAGGAGCGAGAAGTATTAACACAAGAATTTGAAAAAGAGAATGAACGCTTAAAAGAGGAAAATGCAACCTTAAAGAAAGAGGCTGCAGGTGATAATAAGGAAATATCAATGCTTTTACAACAGGTGAGTTTAACACTGAAAAATAACTAGAGTGTAGATAGATAAATAAATACTGTGTATATATAACTGTGTATAAGAGGTTTAGTAAGCAAATAACGATCGAAAATCAGGGGGGGTCGTCTTATACACTCGACATACATTACATTTTTTAATTATGTTTGTATTACGTTCGGATCGTCTGTAACATGCGAATTTACTAGTGCAATGAACCTACTAAATATTAATGTGAATGGACATAATTTGAAATACTGGGAAATTTTATTTTTATTAACATTTAAAAGTAAATAAAATGGTATTATTTTGAAGATTATGCCTTCTTGGCTCCGTTTTTTAGACCTTAAAGAGCAGCAGAAAGTATGAATTCTGACGTTGAAACATGAGTTTATACACCCAACATACAAAAATCGTTAAAAAAAATCTTCTCGAAGTTGGGGGTCATCCTATATACGTGTAATTTATGTGGTATTATGCTGGGGTACAGTGTTTGTCAAAGATGTTCAGGGCATCTTTAATCATCAGAACCAATTTATTGAAAAATAATAAAAAATCTTGAAAGCATTCCTCACTGTTTGTGATGTCAACACTACTATGGGATTTTCAAATTTTTAAATATTTACTGAAGTGTGTCATAGGCGTGTGTGTTCATACCTCTTTGGAATTCTATCCTCAGAGATAGGCCAAGCAGATCATGCTATGTCAATAGCGTAATCACTCAGTAAACACTCTACCATAGTTTGGTAGTGGTCTAATTGTGTGTTGAGTGTACTAGACACTATAAGTACAGTCTGTAAGTACAGTCTATAAGTCATAGTGAGATGAGACTAAAGAGATAACAAGAATGTTTCTTTGTATGTGTTTGTAACCTTACAGTAGGCCTCATTTTGTTATTTTTAAAGTTTTATTAGGCAGGAATGTACCCCTGAGAATCAAAGTAGGGTTTTTGATCTCAGTAAAACAGGTGCATTATTTTCTATTTATCACAATATTGCCGGGAAGAATGTTTTACAGTCGGTACAGTACTGTATTGTAATTTTCAGTACTACTATATCTTGTAAATTTGGAATTACAATGGTTCAGATTGTGTAAAACATGTTTTGATTATAGGTAGGCTACATCTTAAAAAAAGAAAGTTAGCCAAATTAATCTTACTGTGCCTTATGAATTTTTGTAGGTGTTCCCACTGTCTCCTGGTAAAGACCAGTGTACAGTAATTGCTGTTCAATGTACACAGTACTTGTTTACACTTGTGTGATAATGAACTTCTATGGAAATCTTTAAAATGTACTCCTAATTAAACATCATTATTATTTTATTGAATTTTATTTCAATGAATAAAACATTTAGAATGTTTGTTTCATCTTCATTTAGCAGAGGTTTTACCACTTCTTTCTGAATGTGATGCTGTATAATAATAATAATTATGTAGTCTCATTTACAAAATCACAGTAAGGCAACAAAATCCTTACTCAGATAACCCCCAAAAAAGAAGAAAAAGAATCTCAATTTACACTTTAAAAAAAAAAAAAAAGAAAAAATGTTCTTATTTCATTTTTAGTTTTACACACTTTACAAACATAGAAAATTAGTATTGTACAGGTGAGCATACTACTATGTACTGCATTAAAAGGGTATTGCATAGTTACACCTATTGCAAATAAGGTACGGATAAGACATGTTGGTTTTTCTATTTTTTTTTTTTAATAAAAACCTCATTTGACATTTTACCTCAGCCTCAATTTGTTCTTATTTTGTGCTTAATTTTTTGGCAATTTCAGTATCAATGTTTTTATAAAATGTGTTCTTATAAAAAAGTGTAGTAACTATACTTTAAGCCAACAATGTAATTATTAATGATCTATTGACTGATCAGTCAGTGCTTTACAGTTCTCAAGATGATATTATCTGTATGACAACAGAGGCGACCATAAACATGTTTATCTACGCACGCTAACATACTGTACAGCAATGCGAGTGATAGCACTTGGCAGCCTTGCTGGTTGTACTTTAGGGCGATATGCAGTAGATGTTACAAAATTAATCAGAAAGAAATATTAAATATGCTATGTTCAAGAGCTTTACAGAAAATATCGGTGTACGGTAAGAATGGCCCCGGAAAAAATGGCCCCGGAAATAAAGGCCCCGGAAAAAATGGCCCCGGTAAAAATGGCCCCATATGACAGGTAGGTAAAAATGGCCCAATAATCAAATTCTGTATTAAAACTGATTTTCTTGATTCAATATATGCATTTTTTTATCTTAAATAATTTATTTTTAAAAGTTTAGTTTTTTTAAATGAAATTAATTATTTTCTTTAAAAAGATGCTACCCAAGGCGAGACTTTTTTTTTAAACCTTGTTTGACGAACTCGCTGACTATTGTAAATTTTACTGTACTGTATATATGTATTCCTACTAAAAAGTTTCTAATACTAATTTAACAGCATCTTTTTTAACGCATGCAATGTTACTATTTTTTAAGAGTTGCTTTGTAAGTTACAGTATTGTAACCATTTATTGCCAATATTATTATTATCATTATTATTATTATTATTATTATTATTATTGTCATTTCATAAAACAAATGAAATAACAAATAAACAAATTAAGGTTCCCGTAAAATAAGGTTTAACTGTAGTTTCTGATTACATATGTCATAACTAAATAAACAAACCAAAACTTTAATATAATGAAGGAACTCTGTATTTATTCCATAAAATAGATGATTATTCCCAAATGAACAAGAGATAAATAACACCTCGACTTTTAGACATGTTGTTTATATGTTTATTAGATTACAAAATTACATACATCCCAAACCACATCAGGACACCCCCCCCCCCTTCCAATTTGACAGGTCGTCGGAGTAAAAAAATAAAAATGTGACATGCCTGTCACAGTCTTGAGAGTGTCATTTCTGGCCATCCAGAGGTTCCAATTCTTTAAAAAAATAGATATTTAATACTTGGACTTGTTTTCAATATAAACATTTCGTGTTTTTTTCTGTTTTAAAATGTTTGTGCTCGTTAGCAATTTAGATTTATTGTTGATGTTATCCATGACATGGTAATACGTACTGTAAAATGCTAGGCCTCTGAAAGTCCCCATAGTTGGTAGTCGCCACGTTATTGGAAATTTTTATTTCAAATTTCACGAAAATGGTTTATAACATTCCCTGCAAGTTCGTCGTTCAAAACTAGTGCCGAATCAATGTTTTAGAGCCTCCCATCAGAGCCATTAATAATAATAATAATATTATTAATTGACCGCAAATATAGTAATAATATCTAATAATATTAATAATTTAAAAAAATACTTAGACCTACTCCCAGAGCTACTCATAGGAGCTAAAAACTAATTTATTTTAGTTCTCAAATGTATATTCTTTATGTTGATTTATTAATTAAATTTTCACTACAGGGTATTTTACAGCATTTATTTATTTATTATTAATTTTTTTTTTCTTGAATTTTATAATTGAGGGCCATTTTTTATTTCTTGATTCAATTCTTGCTTATACAGTATTTAAATATTTGAAGATTAAAAAAAATATATCATTTCTATTACCAAATTTTTCATTGGGGCCATTTTTACCTACCTGTCTTATGGGGCCATTTTTACCGGGGCCATTTTTTCCAGGGGCCATTTTTTTCCGGGGCCATTTTTTCCGGGGCCATTCTTACCTACATTCAAAATATCAAGCATTATAAATGTAAAAGAAATGTTAAAATGAAACTTGGACAACAACTTAGTCCTTGATTCAGGTAAAGTTCAGGGGGTCCATTCCTTTGTTCTGTTAACAATAATGCTTTGGTGTTTTTTTTTTGTCTTGTAAGAATGGAATGTGTGCGTGTCATAGTTAAAACATGGTTAAAACAAGCCTTGCTCTGGGTGTAAGAATAATTGGCATCAATACACTTCTGTATATGCATCACATGACCTATGACCCTTCAATCTTTAGACATAATGGGTTTAGACTTGGTAATCTTATTAAGCACAGTATTTGTATGCATGAGATATTGAATTTGTCTCCTATCATTACACAACCAAGGCTATAGGCCTACTTGTCAACAATAGATTTGGCCCACCAGGAATTTTTGCAGTACCACAGTGATTAAGTTTACTCTAAATACTTAAAGGTTGGCCCTGATCTCTGCAATTGTTTCAGATTTGTTTTCTTTGTAACTTGGAGGACCAAATAAATAATGAAATATAATGGAAATTAAACATTGAACCATACAGTAAGCACACTATCACTAGGCCCAGACAGTTTGATTTAAAGAGGGTTTATGTTTTTTTGGAGTACATACAGTATGAAACAGTTCTTATCGGCAGTCACTAGTACTGAAATTGATCTAATGATGAATCTATATTCATCCTTCCATGACGGATAACATCATCCTGAGCTTTCAATATACCTGATTGGCTATGACACATTACTTAGTATTAATTATTTGCATGTAGTTATTATAGAATGTGCCTACACATGACATCAGCTTTTGAATAGAGAGAGCATGAAGGCATCAAAATACCATGGAGAAAGCAAAGTCCTTGCGAAGTAATTACCTAACTCTACCCACTTTTAATTTTACATTTCGTTCACAGGAGGGACTTGAGGACATAGCCAGCGGAACACAAAGTGAACAAATTGCCTACCTTCTTGTTGAAAGAGCTAAACTCTTGGATGATCTGGACATGGAAAAGAAGAAGAAGGCTCAGGTGGGCAGCTACTTGGACAACAAGAAGGTGGAGAGGCTAGAAAGAGAGAAACGAAGACTGGATGATGAACTGAAGAAAGAGAAAGAAAATTCAAAGAAGGCCTTGGATTCAGCTGCTAAGGTCAGTTTTTTTTAATAGCTCAAAGACAGTTAGGTGTTTAGATGGCAGTAAGTTAAAACTTTGGTTAAAGTTTTGGTAAATGTAGAATAACCTGTAAACTCACAGTGTCATTGTGCTGATTGTGTGTGGTCCATGACTACCAAGCCGCTGTAAAGAGGTGCTTAAAGTAGTTTCATGTTCATATCATTCCACAACTACAAACTATAATTAACCAGAGCATTGGGGGAGTCCTTAATCCTCTGACAGGTACAGTATTAGGTGTTTAAAGTGCATGTGAACCTGATGTGTAAACAGAACCTCTAATAAGTCATTATCTGCAAAGACTTTGTTTTTACCAATTAAACCTTGGGTAAGGACTATTTTGAACCAGCACCAATTTTAATGCTGTAGTTACATAGCAACGCCCTTACCGTTGACACGCCCAAAGTGGTAACGGCTATGTGTTCACTGAGCCATAATGAATTTTTGTGTCCAAGTTTCTACTCCATTATTCTACATTCCCAGTGAATTACAGGTTTTAGTGCACTGTGATTTTAAACTTGGTCACTGCATGTTAATAGGAAATACATAATCAGAAAACGGAATAGAATTTGTCTTGTCAGTGTGCAATACTGTCCAGAGTGGCTGTGCTGCAAAAGTATCAATATTCAATAATCAATAGATTTTTAATGTGCATAAAGAGTTGTCTGAAAAATTGTTACGAAGACTTGAAACTTTGACCTTGATGGGAAGGCAATCAAATTCACCATCAACATTTACGTCTTATCAATTTAGAATAAAAACAAAAAAGAAAACATTCTTTATTTAAAACTTTTTTTTCAATGTGAAATATTACATTTATTTTTTAACAAATATTAATCAACTGTTAATTAAAATATTGTAATTTACTGATAGCCAAACTGTCAGTCATTTTACTCTTATGAGAAGTATTAATAAAATACATTTTTGATTACAGCTTCATGAAGAGCAGGTTAAGATAATCCAAACACGACGCGAGAAACTGGAGCAGGAGAACCGAGACCTTAAGGCGAAATTAAAAGAATTAGAGACTCAGGTAGCAGAGTTGAACAATGAACTAGACAAGACAACATCAGAAAAAGATGCACATGCCAGCAAAGCTTTGCAGCACCAAAAACAAGGTAAATACTGCACAGTAAAAATAATGAAAAAATATTTGTTAGAAATATTAATGGTAATTCTGAATTTATGAGCATTCAAAAGTTATTGGCGGCAGTGTGAGATTTAAATGCATGCATCTTAGCCATTCAAATGGTAAGCTGTGTATCTCTCAATTGTGGATGGGCTGTGAAAAGTGGTTCACGCTATGTTCGGCTATGGCCCCTGGCTTTGTTTCTGGCATACAAGATCATGCCCATCCTTTGCAGGGCCTTTTGCTATATGGTTAAACCTTTGTCCTGCATCCTCTAATTGCTAAAAAGAAAGATTCCCCTCCAAGTGACCCCCTCCCCATGCTCATATAGTTAAAAAATTACATCATATCAGCTTTATGTATCAAGCTAGCACCACCTCACGTAATCGTCAAGCCTTCTTACTTAATCTTCACAACCCGCTTATAAGACCTCCTAATTTAGTTCCTCTTGATTCCAGATTCATTTTGCAGTGCAAACCCTTGATTCCCAGGTTTTTTTGCAGGGTAACAAGTTTTTATGCGTTTTTGAGTGTACGACTTTCTGATTAATTTTTAAGAATTTGTTTCTAAAAAAAAATGTTCCTTAATTATAGAATAAGATTTCACTTGAAGTATAATTCATATTTTTAGGATTTTTTTTTCTAGGCGGTGAAAATTATGTGTAAAAAAGAGAATACTAATAAAAAATAGTAATAGAAAAATGCTTATAAATCGTCAGCAAAAAATTGTGAAAAAAGAGCAATTAGCCATATAAAATAATAACAAAATAATAAACACATTCAATAGACATGGTTAATATAAATTACTTGCCCAAACATGAATAATAACAAGCACAGTCTTTCCATTCCAATCTGTTGACTATACCGTAGCGTCTCTAGGCCTAGGCCCATAATCATCAACACCATCACCACCGTCATCACCGCTGATAAGCATGCCAAACTATTGCACTGCAAATTTCATTTTCATCGCTGTAAAATTCTAAATATAACTCGATCGCTCTCTTGCCTGTATAATAAACATCCTGTGCGGCCATTCTGATGAAAATTTAAAATTATATAAGTTTTCAAATCAGGATTTTAAAAATTGTTTACAAAGCATGATGTCAGTTTTTTAAATTTTTTATTCTGAAATAACAAGTTTGACGCATGCGTACAAAAAATTTCGAAAGTTTTGAAGCCAGAATATACATAGAACAACGATTTGAAAACAGCCTATTTTTTCATTAGTAAATTTGTATAGCTCAACTTCAAATCCATTTCCAATGGAGTCGAGGTTGGGTTCAAGAGGGTTAACCATCAAGCCACAGCTTCACTTCAAAAAGTATTTATTCTTTTGAAACTGTAGAAACATCGTTATTGAGAAAAGCTAGCATGGAAACATCACAGTTAAAGGAGACACACAAACGAATGGAACTAGAAATGACAACAATGAAGCACAGGCTGAAGACAAGCGAGGAAGAAAAAACGTCGCTAGATTCTAAGGTAATGAAAAATATTGGTGGTAGCTGCAGTGTTGTAGTGTGCTGTATTTTTGATAGTGAGGGCAATCTCTGAAAATTACAGCTGAAGTTGCCAATTATGAAAACATGTGTTTAATTTCATGGACATGTGTCACTGTCAAGCCTATATAAAAAATACAATAACTTTTCTGACTAGTTTCACTTTCACTTTATTCACTTATTCCTAACAAAAAGTGCCGAAAAACAAGGAGGCAAAAGCCTGTAAGGTGACGCCGGAGCTAAAATTTAACTACAGTAAAGTAGACTAAACTATACAAGGAAACAAACATCACAAAAAACAAAAAAACAAGAAATAATGAAACAATGAATTACGATTACATTTTCTTCCAATCTACCTTCATCTGATGTTTAAAGCATGATTAACAAGTATTGGAAACTCAGTTAATATTGTACATTTACTGTAGAACTGTTACTTATTCAGTTACAGACTAGTGAGCCTATCACGTTACTTCATTTCAGTTTGTAAAAATCTGAAGTGAGCCCTCTTGTGGTGGAAATGTGTAAGACACTTCCCTATCGTGAACTTGCGTAACGTAGAATAATTTGGTAAAATTTCATGAATTATATATAATCCCCCTTACAGAACATATGTGCATGCGCTGTTTTAAAGTCTGTGTCAGCCTCAGTGATCAGCTGTTCTGTGCATCACAAGTGACCTACATGTAGTGTTTGATTTTGATAGAATGACATACTTTTCTTTGTATGAGCCTTGTTGAATCAATGCAAGAATAAAACAAGTGATTGATAGTAGATTCTGAAGTTAAATACATTTATTTTCAATCTGAAAATACAAAATACTATTAAATAGTTGTTCAATTAACGTATGATATTACGACTAGGAAACTCGATTCTGACACGATTACAATACGATACATCTTGTATGATGCCAATTAATTATGATAAGATAAGATAAGGTAATTAAATTCACTCACAACACATCAGTTATCTCACAAATTCGAAAGACACTCGTTTTACATGCATTTAAAGCACATATAGGCCTATGCACTCAAATACTGTGGATTTTCCGCCTAGGCTGGGCTCCAAGGGCAATACAATTGGTTTTTATAGGCCTATTGCATTACGGATCATCTATGTTGCATGGATGAACCCTTCATGTGAAACTTTGCCTATCGCAATCAGCAGTTTGCGATAGGCGCAAATTATGCGCATGACCGACTGTGTTTTGTTGCACTACCGCGATTTTCAAGTTATTGACTTCAAACTGAAGTGAGCCCTCTTGTGGTGGAAAGGTGTAAGTCACTTCCCTATCATTGAGTAGATGCAGTAATAATTTAATGAAGTTTTGATATTGAAAACTACCATTGCAAATTACTACATTATTATAATGTATTTATATTAATGTTAAAATATATTATTTAAAAAAAAAAACACTATTAAATTTCTTCATTTTAGATTTGCTTGTTTTTTTTTTTTTTTTTTTTTTCAAACTAAGTACATTTGAACTGTTCATAAGGCAAACAACTCATCAGATTCTGATTCATTTTAAAGATTGTACTTACTGTTCAACAACATGTGGTTGAAATATAAGACAAGCATAAATCAGCAAGCCATGTTCCACTTTTTTCCTTGTTTATATTTATCTTTTTTTATATCATCAGAAATCATCTGATCTAACTGCTGAATAAACATTGAGATTTCAGTCCCATACGTAGTACATACACTTTGAAGCAATAAAAGTCAATTAATTTTAAGTGAATCAAAGGTCAGGCTTCATATTTGACAACTTTTATCTTGTACCTAATAATGAATTTCCTTTAGTGTCTCCTTTAGTTCCCTCCCAGGGTATACCGAATGCTTATTTTTACAAATAAATGTACTGAGCATTAATATATTAATAATAGAATCAAATGAGGCTTGCCATCCCAAAACCAACATCATTTAACCAAAAATGAAATTTGACTTTTCGATAAATTCTTATTCTTCACACTATAACCTTAAAAACAAAGATGAGTAATTTTAAACTGAAATCAACTTACTATTTGCCAATGTTATGAGTAAAAGTATTATAGCTTCTGTGATACAATACTGCCACATTTTTATGGTAATTTTTCTAAGTTCAACAGTTAACAATTAGCGACATTACGCAAGCCTCAAATTAGAAATGCTTACCTGTTGTGCTGTTCCGAGTTCATCAAGGGTATTAATGACAAACGTAGGTCTACACAATCATCTAATTGCAAGGGTGTATTTTAAATATATCCTCTCAACTTTTGTTATGGATCTCCAAAGGCAGTAATATACATAATATACTCCACAATGTTAAACTCTGGTTGTCTAACTGACATTTTATGTGAGGAACACTGGCCAACTTCATATTTCATGCAACATAATGTGATATATCTCACTGTTGATATTTCTTCCAGGTTCAAATGATATTGTTTATTTGAGTATCCTTTGTAAAAAGTAGTTACTTTATTTCTAGTCAGACTCACCTATCTGATGTCTTCCTGAATATCAACAGAGAATTTTACCCTGAAGAGTAGATTTTAAGTTTACTGATACTTTTGGTATTGATAACTTTAACTTTGAACTGTAGATTAGTAATCCATCATTGCAAATGACAATGATGTTTACTGTTAGCATTCTATAATAAAGCTATAATTTTCTGTTCCTTGGAAATTCTGAAAATGTTGACTTGTTTGCTTGTGGATTCTGTAACTGTCCAATCAAATCAAAGCTAGGTACTGCACACACACGCTACTGTAGGAAGACACCAAATTACATTCCTTGACACAACGTTTCTGAGAATTTTATCAATTATTTTCTGTCTGTGTTAATGATCAATAGTTGGTAGATACTCCACCATCATAGCTCAAGTAAATAAATATCATTTTTGATTTTAAGTTACCTGATAATTTCCAGCATTCGATCAAATAGAAGTCAATTTATGTCCTATTAAAATAGCTTGAAATTTAAGAACTCATCGCTGGTCCATTGACAGTTGGAAGTCACAATGCCAAACATTTGAAAGAAAAAATTGCAAAGGTCCTTGGAAATATCAACTTAAGTTAATGCTTCATTGCACTCTTTATCCTTTCCTCTAGCAACTCCTTTAGTTTATTTTTGTGATTGAAACTGTGTTTCTATGTTACCATGGAAAAGTGTGGAACAAGTCCTTTTTGATTCAGTATGAATAGTTTTACAGACTCAATAAAATTTGTTTTTTTGTTAACTAGAATTTGTTTCATCGCTAGTAATGACTGATTCAACATTCAAAGTACACTGAAGTACAAAAACGTTGGACTATATTGAATTTTTGTCAGATGGTCCATTTTAGACCATATTTACTGATTTTGAAAGTATTACTTTATTCTTTAGTTCATTCCAGTACTGTATAATAAAAATTGTTCAGGTTATATTAAACCAATGTTGTACAATAATCTCTCCAATTTAAGTAATTTTACTTTACTTGTGTAATCTTGTGTTGTAGATACGCGAGCTTCAGACTGGATTAGATGAGGAGAAGAAAAAGAGGACCAGTCATGAGGGTACCATCATCAAGCTCCGGGCCTTGATTGACAAGAACAAAAAACAAGTTAATAAGCTAGAGGTGAGGAAAATATAAAAAAACTTTATTAAAATAATAATGCTAGATATTTATATTATGCCAAAGCACTCAAATAGATATTATTTACGTGCTTCTTTTAATTCAGTATATGTGAGAACTATAAAGTATTATGAAATATTGATTGTTAGTTTATTTATACAATTATAATCAAGTATTGAGACATTATTGAAAATAGAAGCCGAAGGAAGAGATTATCTGAAGCCAAGACTGAAGCCATGTTTTGAAGAATATAATTACTAAAATTAGTTTTAGAACAGATTATGGTTTTACTTTTTTGTCATGTTTATCCTTTTCGTCTGTTTTAGTCTTTTTAATCATATCATTTGTCTTGTTGCTAGGAAACAACTAAGAAGATGAGCGATGAGAAGAAAGCACTTGAATTGAAGTTTGAATTTGCGGAGAAGGAGCTAGAACAGATGAAGGGAAAAGAACAAAATTTAACAAGTAAAATGGTAAGATTGATCAGAATGGTTGAATAGTTTGACCTTTGAAAATGTACCTTTCAGATAGTTTATTATCCAGGCTTTGTTGTACAATTCTGTTGGTTGGGGTAATTTCACATAATTCAGAATATATAGTCAACAATGAATAGAAAATGTGAATTTAAAAAAAGTTACAAACATAATTTATTTTTAATTTTAATATGAATCATAAGGGTGAACTATATCCAGCGACTACTGGTTTATGATAAATAGAGCATCTAACATTGGGCCTCATGTAAATCGTGTCAGATTTAAAGCACTTTTATATTATAGAGATTAATTTAAGATAATATTAATATAAGATAAACTTTATTGTCATGACCACAAAATAAGGCAAACTTGAAATTTGGTTTCCGTGATGCTTAACTACACAAATAATACAGTATAAAATAATTGAAAAACAAAGACTAATTGCTCTTAAAAATAGTATTTGAAGGACTGAAAAAATAAAATAATAATAATAAATATACGATATATATTTTTTTTACATATATTTTGTCGTCTTATCGTCTTCAACAGGAGAACCAATCAAAAACAGAGCGAGATCTCCAGAAGAAGCAGTCGACAGAGCTGCAGCGCCTTAAGGAAGACTACCAGAAGATGTCCATAGAGCACAAGAGTGCTTTGGAGATGCTTGAGAGGGAGAAGCGACGTGCTAAAGAGCTAGATCATCGAGGCTCGTTGAGCGAACAGGATTGGAGGCGTAGATTGAGGGAGAGTGAAGAGCGTGAACGAGAACTAGCTAAAAAGGTGAGTTGCATTAGTGTAATAGATATACACCCTATATTTTAAGAGTTAGTAGTTTTAGAATTAGTTGCATAAATGGAGAAGAATGCAGATAAAACAACTTACTTTGTCACACAAATTTAACTTTAAAATATTGTTTTGTTCATAACTGTTCTTTCATTTCCATGTCTTTTATTGTCATTGTTGCATACTATACTATTTACACATTTCAGCATTTAATTGGTGAAAGCAAACTTTAAACTAACTTTAGTAAATTGTTTGTATATATAAGAGTACTTTCTTTGATGAATATTCATAATTCTCTTTGTTTGCACTGACCTATTGGTGATAGATTTTACTGGCTATGGCAAAACCCTCCGTTTGTAGGAAAAATTCAAAATTGAGTTATTGGTGTTTTTAAATTCTGCCAGTTGTCTTTTTTTTTTAAAGTGTTTATTTGATGGAAATTGGTTTAGTATTAGCAAAGTTATGAATATATTTCATTTGATATCAGCCATGTAGGTGTTGTGAAAACACCTTCCAAAGATTCCAAAATCAATAGTTTATTATTAAGATTTGTATTTTTAAAATAATTTTAATATTTTTTTCATTTAGATTTAGTCATTGATATTTACAGAAATGGTCTTCAATATAGGCCTATCTTTTATAAAATGCAAAAACAAGAAAATGTTAAAAATTCTGATTCTTAAACATTTTGGGTGCTTGTGGGAAATTAAAAAATGGGACATACGGAGGGTTTGCAAGAGCCAGTCACATATTAGTTGTTGGTATACATACTTAAATATTATGTCTAGTATTGAGGACCAATTCGAAGTGGCCCTCTCATGAGTGTAGGTTGCCGTGCATAGCAGACAGTTCACACGTACTGTATGCATTGTTAGTGAGCCTTGTATGTGCGTAACTTAACATGCTGAGCATTGTGCATCCAAAAAAGAAAACTTACCTAGGCGAACCTGTCAATTGTTCGTCTATACCTACTGTAGGTCTACTAGAGTAGCATCTTCACGTCCCTTGATAATTTTCATCGTGGCCTGCCCTCGGTTCTGAAATCAACAACAATCATCAACAAAAACACCTTCTATAAACTCCCTTTTGACTATAGATAGGCAGCAACCATTTTTTATGTTCATAGCTGTAGGATTATTGGTCGACCTTTCAGTATTATTTTTTATACCATTTTGTTATTGCTGTTTAGCAAAGGTAAGTATAGCAACATGCTAGATAACTATAGAGGGCGACATAGAGATTTGTTTAATTCTCAGAACAAATGATTTCCCTGGGATACTAGAATTGACTAAAATCGTCTCGAATGCTATGCTAAACGCTATGTCTATACCCTTATGTTAGCCTTGTTATTGTGTACAAGATCATCATTTATTTATGACATACATCAAATTCAGCTCAGGTAAATATCATTGCAATATCATTCACATAGCTGGTACTTGTACATCCTCCTTAAGAGACACAAACATAGATTAAAATGTTTAATAATAATAATAATAATAATAATAATAGTAATAATAATAATAGTGTAGATTGTATAGTGCTGGTATCCATCAAACAAGATACTCATAGCGCTTAATGTGCGGACTAGAAACTCTATCAGTGACTTTTCACCCCTAAGGGTGCCAACCAAGTAACACGGTACCAGCAACTCTCGTTGTCTACCACAGGGGCTGTCACCCTCAGTGGCATATCTGGAAGTTGTCCTGAGGACACAGGCAATGTGTCTGTCCAGCATCAGGCTCAAAAGACACAACTTTCCTGCTTCAAAAGCCTAAATTTACGAACGGCTCTGGGCCCGTGCTGTACGTAAATGAGGGGTTCTACTGTACATGCTTAGTATACACATACTGTATAGACTTTTGTTATGCAGTATAAAAATATACTATATTACATAATGTTTTGACCAATTATATAATTGAAAGTTCTGAATGTAAATGTTAATGGTATAGAAGGATGAATCTTGAGAAGGAAGGATCTTTAGCCCTTAAATTAATTATCATTTCCTCTCATGAGAGCGCCACTTTGAATAATTAATAACGATTGATTATTTGTCTGCCTTTCATGTCTTTCACCATTATCATTTTTCTGCTGTCTATTTCCTTTCATTCATCATTATTTCCTTATTTGGTAGTTGGATTACTCGCATGCTGACCTTGAGTCAGCACGCGAGAAAACATCCACACACCATCTGGATTTCACAAGGCAACAAGAAGAGATGGAAGAGGTAGTTTGAGATAACCTAACCTATAATAACGATTTATCTCATGAATGTTTTTGTCTATTAATTGAAGTCATTATTTTAGTTTTGTTTGTTTTTTACAATACAGTATATCATTATAAATTCTTTTTAGCTGATTCTGTTTGCCTATGTGACTTGCATGTTTTATGACAGTCTTCATAATTACTGTTTGTTGCCTGTTGATTAATAAATGCATGCAATTATTTGCTTTTTTAAAATCAACTGTTGTTTAATGATCATGTGTGTGTACAAGTATATGTTTATGAAACTTTTTATTAATTTTGTGATGTTTATCAGATAATTCCTCATGATCAGATCACCATTTTCACGGTAGTAAAAAATTTGTCAAAACATACAGTTTCCAAACACATGCTCATTGAGTTTAGATTTTTTTCTCATTTAATGCTTAAAAAAATAACACACCATTTTGAGTGAAATATATCAATAAACTTTTTATTTCATGACCAAATGTATTAATATTTCTATATATTTTTTTATATAATTTGTATTAATCAATTAATCAGTTTGTATTATAATTATTTTTGCCACTTGTATTTGCATTATTGTGTGTGTTTATGTTGCTATTACTGTACTAGGATGAATGTTTATTGTTAGGTATTCATTGATTTATTAAAGATACATTATATTTTTATGTCTGTAAAATTCACTAATGCATTGCTATTACATCTTTTTTGTAATTTATTTTATTATTATTGTTCTATTGCCCTTATATTAAAAAAAATACTATATTTATATATATATTTAGCATTCTAAGCAAACTGTTTTTTATTGATTGAATAGAAAGGTAGTCCATCCACCCTCCAGTTACAAAGTCCTGGGTTTAGTTTAGATATCAATCCACCAAAAATATGAAACTTGATCACCATGTTAAATATTTGTGAATAATGAAAATGTTATTTGCTAAGTTACCTCCATGATAATTGTACAAATTGATTTATATTTACCTAAATTAATTCCATCATTTTACTAGGAGCTATCCACCAGCCAGACCGAGAATCGTCAACTACGTGAGCAGATGTCTCGTGAGAAAGCTCTGATGGAAGAGACAGAGACCCGAAATAAACGCATCATTCAAGAATTAGAGAACCTTGTAGATGAACTGAAAAAAGATCGCGATGTTCTGGCCCGAGAATTGCAGGCTATGATCAGCAAAGATCAACAGTCAGAGAAGTGGATCGATGAAGCTAAGCAACTTCATCTGGACAAGAAGGACCTACAGGATCAGGTAGGCCCAGCACATTTATCCCATGTACTGTAAAGCCTTTATTTTTGTGGCTCTTTATTTTTGCAATTTTACAATTTACAATAATTCGCAGCCTTTTGGTTTTGTGATTTTACAATTTCATAACATGATGCAGAAATCTACCATTATGTTTTTTAGCCTGTATTTAGCTAGAGCTCCCAATTTCAGTGGGTTTATCCCGATTTTTTCTCCAACCCTCCCAATTTTTAGTCTAGCTACCATTGGTAGGCCTACTGCAGCTCAAGCCTGGAAAAAAAAATGTTTGTGCCTCTGGGACATTCATGTTGCCTCCAACCGCCGGTCGAGCGGTTTGCACTTTTTCCAGCCCTGCTGCAGCTACTCCAGTGCTCCAGCCTTTATGTGGATTTTTGACTAAGATTTTGTCAAATTGAAATGTTAGAAATTTTGCAGCAAATGTAGGCCTAACAAAGTTTACCAAAATGTTTACCAAGATTGTTAATTAAATAAATTAATAATTTCCTACCCTCAGATTGTACACATTTTAAACTAAAACAAAACACTTTAGGAAAGTATAATACATACTCCAAGTATTGAAATACACGCCATCGTGTTGGGATTCAATATTTCGACATTAATTATGTCATCATCAGGCCTGATGATGACATAATTAATGTCGAAATATTGAATCCCAACAAGATGGCGTGTATTTCAATACTTGGAGTATGTATTATACTTTCTTATCTGAGATTAATCAGTGGACCTTTCGGTTTTTGCAAAACACTTTCATGTTATTGTTTATTTTTTATCAGAGAACTACAGTAACTTCTGACAGTTAGCTATAAACTATATGGCATTGCCTGCTCCAGTCAACTGACACACTGGGGAAGTCAGTTCCCTTCACCAATAATGTTCACTTGTGGCACACAATAGGCCCAAGGCAATTCAACAAAAGGATGCACATCTCCGCTCTCGAACATAGCGCGTGTTTACAGTCTTGATCTTTACTGTGACATCAACAATCCGATACTAGTTGCGAGTACAGCCGTCAATTATTAGTCTATGCATGCCATACGTTTTATTGTGTTAGTTACTATTTTATTAATTTTGGGTACTTCGCAATGTCTGTTACATCTGATTTCATCATTTGACTGCGAGCTTGTTAAATGCTTCTATAAACTGCAATTTGATTTGTGAAAACTGACCAAGAAAATGAAAAGTTATAGCAATTGAAAATTTACGAATTTTATAAAATTTCATGTTCTTATGTAACATTAAACTGTCATTTTGACAATGTTGGACTAAGAGGTGCACAAAAAGAACATTTGAGTAGATACAGAAAAATTATTAATTTTTTCTGCGAAGTGAGTCTCATGAACGACAATACACCACAGCATCGGTAATATTAATTTTGAAACGAAGAATATAATTTCAGTCTAATGTTAGTGCAAAATATCATTACGCCTTTGTAATCACCGCACGACGCGCGATTATCATGGCAACTAACACGCACGTGGTAATTCGTCACACGTTGACGGTTTATGGTCTGGTTGCTATAGTTTTTGTGACGTTGTTGTTAATATTTTTTTACATTAATTAGAGTTGAAAGAAAGTGAATGCAAAATTAACTCATGGCTTCAATTAGAGTTGATGACAAGTCATTATCGAAAAGTAAACAAGGAAATCATTGACTATACCTACAACAAGCCAGCACTTGCCATTTTATTGCCAATAATTTACATTAGATTAACAAACGAATTATGGATGGAACATAACAATCACAAACAAATCAATGAAAGTAAACAGTGAGAAGAATATATTCATAACAATTGATACTTACAGTACAAAATTTATGTCAGTGGCGATTTGCAAGTAATGTACTCACAAGTAAAACAAGTGCAAAGCGTTTGACTAGTGTACCCCATTGTGAACCAATAATCTTCACTATACATTCTTAATTACATGACATAATGGTTTAATTTGATAGATGTCTCTGGATCAACACAATCTATGAGATCATGTGATACAGCAGGTGGTTGCTATGGTAAAGTGATGAGCATCCTTCGATTTCACAAATGTGCAGTTTTTGTTTCATGCTATTAGGTACAAAGGCCAAGCAGATTCAGAGCGAATTAAATCAACATCAATATTTAAGTGGCTTAAATCTCTTAAACTTAAAATGCAACAAAGACGTGTAGTATACTATATAAATAGAAATACTCTTTTGTTAGCTACTTGTTACAGCATTAATTGAGTAAAATGTTGAAAACTAATCAGACGCATTGATCTAATTGGTAAACATCTTTCTTTTTTTTTTAAATTCATCAAAATTTAAACAGTACTTCCAGTAGAAAAATTCATGCCCATATTTTTATACAAAAAAAAAATTTTTTTTGTATCAGCAAACTGAGTTAGTTTAGAAATTCACACTCTTGTCTATACAGCGCAAAGATTGAGCACAAGTAAAATACAATTAAGTGTCAAATGTAAAACAATGTTTGCTTTAAAGCCCCATTCCCGGCAAAATTTCACTAAAAACTGATTTTTTTTTTTTAATAGAAAATATGCTTTTGTATTACTCTAATTATTATAAATCATGGATAAATATTGGCATGAATTTTAGGTTTACGCAAAAGAATAAAAAAAAATGAGGAATACAGACTATTTCTCATAAAATATTACCATTTTCTTCACGAATTCATCGTTACTAGGCAAATTCAGAGGTTGTATATCGCATCCACTGGAATACTCTCGCTTTTATGTATACTTTATACAGTCAATAAAGTGCGCCCTCTCTAATGAGATTAGTTTTTGTACTTCGCATCTCGCACAATATGGTCGTTCGATTAAGGCTGAGATATGTTTGTTTAAGTGTCAAAATCTCAGTCAGAATCAGTTTTTTAACAAATTTGAAATAATTCTTATGAAATATTATATTTCACAAGTGTCATTACTAGCAATGGAAAATATCATGTCGGCCGTTTTTATGTGTGATAACAGAACCTAAATTGAGGTAAGGCTAGGCCTAGCCTAGCAGCGTTGGATAGGCTAATGTTTTCGGTGCCTACGATATTTCTTCTTATGACCTATCGCAAAATCAAACATGAAAATTCATCCGCATTTATTTTTTGTGTGGAACACAAAAAAAATCAAATTTCAGTCTTATTTCACATTTTTTTCATTCTTAGGAATGTCTAAATTCTGTTAAACTAGCAATTCCGTATTATATTTATAAATCTTTATAACATTATACAAAAATTAGATTTTTCTTAAAAACTGAAATTTTGCCGGGAATGGGGCTTTAAGTAACCATTGTTGTCAAGTATTTTGTCCCCTTTCAATGATATTTTTATGCAATAACTTCAGTTTATAGAGAGGTAGAGGCATGAAATCATAATATGTATTGCAGTAATTTTGTCTGTCCTTACAACCAAGTACAATTGGTTTTTTTTCTTGTTTTTGATAGGAAGTACTCTATCTATTTTCTTGCTATACCAGCTGTCCCAACAAGTTTGTTGGTCTTTTAAGTTGTCTAAGGCATGAGGAATCTAAGGCTAGAAAGTGAAGTTGTTTTTATCAGGAAAAAAAGATCCTGTAACCGTGACAGGAATTAATCCCAGGACCTTCGGGTTGAAAGGCGAGCATCTTATCCAATATCCTATTGAAATCCACTCAAGTTTTATGATAAATACAGCAAACATTAGAACATACTAAGTATCCGCCTTTTACCATGAATACACTAACTTGTCATTGTTTGTCTCAGGTTATTGTTTGTGTAGATTATCTGGTGAGGTCAAGAGTAAGTGATCTTATTAAGTGTCATAGTTCATTTGCTAAAGTTCTTCAGTATCCAACAAAATACCAAGAAGATAATCGATATTAATAAAAAAAAATATTCAATAATTTAAGGCAAAAAAAAAAATGCCAGTCATCACAGGCCTGAAATCCATGGTAAAGGTATCAAAAAATACTTAAAAGCTTGAAAGTGGGTATTTTTAGACATTATACAAGTATCTTGGGCTCCTCACTGGTAAAAATTAAAAAAAAAATATTTTTGCCTAAGAAAAGTTTACCTTCGCTTTTCAAGCAACACAACTTTTTTTGGCTTAATAAAAATACTACATCAAGAATAAAATATGCTTGTCAGGAAATTTTGTCCAAAGATTTGTTTTTGCATTTCAAATCATTGATAATTGCAGTACAGAATTTTAAATGTACTACAGACTGCTTTCTTCTCCTCCCACTTTTATTTGCACCTGCATTTGTGTAGGGTAACCACAGCAACTATTCATAATTAGGTAGCTCACCTAGTTCACTGAGCAGGTTTCACTCTATTGTCCCTTTTGTGAGGAGCGGGTCATCTCAATAAGTGTCTATAGAATTGATATTTTTATATTGTCAGTCTTAGTCTCCGCTGGTCAGCTTTTCCCAATGTTATTCTTGCTGATGTGCAGCTATTTAAATCAGGATCAATTTTTGTTCTAAAGTAGGTTGGTGTACTCTGTTGTTTAATTGATTAAAGTGGTTTAACTGATTTGTATTATGTAGTTACTGTAGTACTCTAGGTAATTAAACCTGTAGTCTAGGCACTGAATGCATTGCTACACAATCAGAAAGTAGAGGTTAAATGTCTTTTTTTTTGACAATCAAAATTAGGGCACATAGAAAAAAGTATTAGGTTATCACTCTTTTAAAAAAAAAAAAATTGATGAGGGAGGGTGGTTTTTTTTGTGTTTTTTTTTTTAAAGCAGTACAATAAATTATTTTGCTTTTGTTTTTATCGATGAGGGAAGAACTGTTTATATTTGGCCTGTACCCGGGCCTGTAATAGTAAATATTGTATAAAAACTGGTTTAATTTTAAAGTTTTTTAAAGAAAATGTATTTGAAGTCACAAAATTGCGTGTTATTTTATGCTGTTGAAATAAACGATGTTTAAAAAAAAAAATTTTTATATCCCCGCATCAATATTTCCCGAATTTTTGACGCAGGCGGGAGTGATAATCTAATATATTTTACTATTTGCCCTTAATGTGCAGGTTTCCTGAATTTTATCTTTCTAGTCCACTATCCCCAATTGTACATTGGTTTAAAGCAGATATTTTCATGTTGTTATATAGAACTTCTTAGTTAAACTTTAACAGGACAGTTTAACATTTTGTGTCTTTTCTACCACATTATGGGAGAATTGCTTGTATCACACCGGTAGGGCAGGATCTGAACCAAATACCTATGGTTGCAAGGCAATCATCTCAAGCATGCAAACTATTCTGCAACTTTTATTATCTCAGAGTTGCAGTACTTATTGTTTTATTCCTTTCACATCCAACATCAAGTACTGTACATAGCTCGCCAATTGCTAGACGGAATGGTGCTTCTGGAAATTTAAAGCCTGGGATAAGGCAAGAGTCTTAACCACCACGCTATTTAGCTCCACTATTATCTGAATCAATTATTAACTTTGGTCAAAGTTCAGCTAGGTCTACAGTACCTACTCCTATTTATGATAATACAAAATATTAATCAACTCTTCCATTAAGTGTAATATTAGTATGTCTGTATCTAGAAGAATTAACTTGTTTCTAATACTCTCTAAAGGATTAAACCTTTTTATCTGTTGTTATGCTTAATTTTCACTTTCTAATTTTTGTATGTTTTGATAAGGATGAAGAGGAGTTTCTATCTGAACTTATTAATTAAATTTTAGTGAATGAGCTTAAAATAGCCGTTCTGTGTTTGTCAGTTTTTCTGCAGTGATGTATTCCAGAGTTTTAAAGGAATAGTCATCATATTGTGCAGAAAAATTATTGTTGATTTTAACTTGTTTTATTGTATTCTAACAGATATTTATTTGTTGGATACTAATCCCCAGGCTTCTTATTTCTATACTACCATTTCTTCTTTTTTTCTTTTTTTTTCAGTTGGATTCTAGCAACAGACGAAATACTCAACTTTCAGATGATCTACAACTAGAGCAGACGAAACTTGCAGGTATGTATGTGTGATGTAATTTTACTCTTTTTATGCTGGTTATGTATCAAGTGTTGAATTGAAATTTATTTACATTTTAACTCAGCTTAGATAATTATATTTACTAGGCCTATTATAATTTTTTTAATTGTTACTGAAATATTTTTACAAAATACAAAAAGTGATGAATTATACTTGTGATACCATGGAAATTTTATCAATGAGGTTGATTTTGTTATTCGCAAATATAGAAAACAGGTCATATTAACATTCTATATTGACAGATATGATAAATATATGTTTTATCACTTTGTTATAAAGTAATCAGTGGCGGATTCAGAGGGGGTTCAGACGAACCCCCCTCCCCAGGCCTATAGAATGAGATAAAATTACTTGACCTTTTTCAAGAGGGGACCCTTGAGTTTGACGAACTTAAAGGTGATTAAAAGACTCCTCAGAAGTCGGGAGAGCTAATTTCTGGCCATCTTAGAATCAAAATTTTCCCGGGGGAGGACCCCCGACCCCCCTTTCTTTTTTACGGTTTTTTGGAAACTGTGAAACCCCATTCTTTCAAATCCTGGATTTGCCCCTTGTAATCTACCAGAATTTTACCAAGTATTGTTGTTTTTTTTGAATTGTAATGATGTCTTTTTCACCATCATAACAAATTTAATTCACTGAATGCAAACTACACTTTAATCTGTTTACAAGTAATTTAGGTAAAACCCGGGCATGCACTGCGTCCAACATGGTTCCATAGAGAACCCAACATGGTGTAGACGCACACAACATATCATTTTTGATGACAATCTGCTCGATCTGCCATAGACATGCAGACGGTATGCATCGTCAAGCACTCACACTGAGCAGAGATGGATTTACCATATGACCTTGCGTGTGCCCATCGTTAAAATTTAACTCAGCTACTAGCCTTGTTTCACGTGTTAAATGCATTGATTTCTAATTAAATTATAATTCCAAAATTTTTCTTCAGACTCTAGTGCTGAGATTGCTTTCCTTAAGGAGAAACTGAAGCTTTCAGACGGATCGGTGAAAAAATTGAAAGAAGAGCTAAACCAGAAAACATTAGAGGTATCCAGGCACTACAACATGACCAACCAGGGACAGGTATTAAAAGCATTATTTATTCATACAAACTGATCAGTAATTTACACAGCTGGCTTTTTTTTTTTTTTTTTTTTGGGAACTTTGAACTTTCAACCAAGTACAGTGTTCTTCCCCAGGCCCTTGAATCATTGGGGCACTCTGATGCTTGGTATACATCACCTGTGATGCTTGACAGTATGTGGTTTTTTAAGCCAGCCAGACTCTAAAGCCTAGAATAAGGAAGCATTTTTATTGCATGAGTTCCAAATTCAGTAAAATAGAGCCTTCTATACAGAAATAATCATACAGACTGCATTACATACAATTACTAACCAAGTATAGTATAAAAGATTTTGCTCAATACATCCATTGTCTGGGAAACAGGGTTTACTTATATTGTAGGCAAATTGAAGGCAGGCATCTTGCCAACGAGTCTATAACTCTCTACTCCACTGAGTTAAAATTAAAAGTACTCAGAGCAGTGCTACAAAAATATGTCATTAATTAGACCAAACTGTCTTAATATTCATGCTTATTGCTGGGTAAATTGTGTCAACACCCAGAGATATGTTGCCTCTATTATCTGTGGTGTAACACTAGTTTTATGTACTACATCCATACTGATGACACATGTATATAGGACTGATGATTGTTAAGAACATTTAAGCGAGTATTTTTGTTTGATTGCTTTTAATCAATACATCATTTGTTTTGCATTTACATTACTCATGCTGTAACTTATAATGACAGTTCAAATTTTATTTTTTTTTTTAATTTAAAGAGGGAAGTTGAAGAGCTTGAAAGTAAATTGGTATGTGGTTGATCTAAATCTCCTAGATTTCAACATTTGTTTGTTGATTGTTTTTTTTAAATTTTAACTTAGAAGTGAGGTTCATTATTTAATTAATATCATATCGTATATCATATATCATTCATCATTCATTTATTTTAGCAGTTTATTGCAGTAGATTTTCCATAATACCATAGTGCAAAATAGAAATAAAGTGCCATAGTTGATATTACCCACAATCCCAGTGTGTTTTATTTAATACTGTAATTTAGTCCATTATTTGACTAATAGTAATACTAATATTTTATTCAATATACATACATTGTTTGATAACCTTTTGATATCGTCTTTATGTCTGTGATGTTATGTTAAAAGTTGTCTATGTATCTATGTTTATAATATTTAATTTCAAATTGTTATACTAATATTGACACTGGCTATTAGATGATGTTTATTGACCATTCATAATAAATTAAATTTAGAAATATGTTTTCAAATGACTCACAGTACAAACCCTGTATCTACTTGATAATGCAAGACTTTTTTAATCCATTGTTTAGCAAATTTGTTAAAAGATCATCAGATGAGGGCGGAAAAAAATAAAAATAATATTTTGTTTTCTTATTTAGCAAAATGATTGTGACAAAAGCATCTAGGCAGAGGAAAAATTAAAGTTTCTTTGATGAATGTCATCAATGTATTCGTGAGACTTATAAATGCTTTAAATTTGTAAAAGTAGAAATATATATATCTTATTTTTGGGAGGTTTCAGGGGAGCAAAAGGCGTAATAAAAATAAATTAAAATGCGCTATGGCCAAAAATACATTGTTATTTTTATGCAAATTAAACACATTTAAACCTTACACAGATAGCCAAAAATCACAACAATATAGGTTGTAGTACTAGTAGTGAATTTATTTCCTAAAAAAGAAATGGCAAATATTTCAAAAACATATAAACAATGTAAAAGTAATTTAATTAATAAATCCAAGAGAAACTAAAGCATGCTGAAATAAAATGTAACTTGAATGCACTTTTTAACTATCAAAGTAAACATTTATATCAATAACAAAAAAAAACTTGTAATGAGTATCTGATAATGTTAAAAAAAACTGAACATTGGCACAACCAAAAGTTGAAATTAAAAACCAGTAAATATAAGATGTAATGACACACCAACAAGAGAAGGCAATGACAACAATACTAAAGTCAATAATACTAGTTTTCAATTAAAGGTAATTTTTTGTTAGGTTGTCAGGAAGAAAGCTGATTTTTAAAAAGATTTGTACTATAATGGACACCCTATTTCAGGTTATTTTTTCTCAAGTATTGACAAATGAATGGAACAAATCAGTTAAAATATACAATTAAGAAGAGCATGAGTCTATTAACGAAAATAAACAAACTTCATATTCCAATCATAAACATAATATCAAAATAACAGGCATGATTTACTTGCTCTTTTTTTTTATTCAGACTAAACTATTCTTTGATTCCTTAACATGCAAATGTATTAACATACTGTAAATGCATGACAGGTCACCATTATTGCCCTCAAACGGAAAGAAATCTATTGATGTTATAAATCCCTGGTGTTGTATTAAAGCATCAACATCTCATCAGATGTTAATTATTATGCTGATTTATTTTCCCTACTTTAGTCCACGATAGATGTTGAAGTGGTTCGTGTTCAACGGGAATTGATTGAAGAACGTGAGAAGTTCGGTCGCGAGAACAACGAGCTGAAGTGGCAACTTGAAAGAGCTGAAAGAAAAACCAAAGATGTACTTGAACAAATTGCAGAAAAAAATGAGGTAAAGCGTTGATAATTACATGATAATACTCTAATTATTATTTTAGTTCTATAAAACTGCTGCTGATGTTATTGTTTGATTGACAGACCAATCAATCTTGACAACAGACCATTCAGAATAGAGCCAGGAGTACAACAAACACATGTGTTGTCCAACAAAGGCACAGGTGTACGCTGTCATTTTGTGCGATCATAAGAATAATATCGAAGAGGTGGAAATGTCCATTTTTAAGTGCAAAATAATTTGACTTTTTTATTCATAGATGTGTGTGGCATTTCTATCTTTTAGGAACTAAGTCAGCTTCGCAAAGAAAACACACGTCTCTCTAGCATTTCACATAATGGTGACAGCAGACTTGAAGATGAGGTCAGGTTACGGAACGATGTGGAAGGCCGTAATAAAGTTCTCGAGGAAGAAATGACTAAGGTAAATATCTATTAATTTAGATCTCTATTATGTAATTTGTATTATTTATTGCTATTGGATTGTTTTAGAGGGCCTGAATATCATTAATCAACCTAGCAGGATGGGTCACCTTCTATAAAGATTGTGGAAATAAAATAAATGAAAAAAGTAATGAATTCCAAAATATTGAATATAATTATTAAAATTTATTAAGTTTGTATAGATAGTATACTTGCTGCAAATTGATATCTTCCTCTTCAGCTGTTTCCAAATTACACTCACAATACCACTGACTGAATGACCATTTAGCTTCAAGGCTTTCGCTGTTGGGCTTTGAAACAAAGAAAGTGCAATATATCACACTTCTTTTACATCATTTCCACTATGACTTATTTACACCTGGTTGAATTCTAGAAACAACAAATCTGAAATGTTATTGTTTCTCACATTGAAAGCATTATTGTGATATACTAATGTCCGCACAGCTTGTTATAGACTATTGTCATTACAATGCAAATGTATTCACTGTGATATATACTAGTCCCACCATCATTTTTTGGGGGCAAAATAAAATGCCTATCAATCAACTGCTTTAACTGTTGTAATTCTTTTCTCCTTGTAAATGAAGAACTCATGTTGATTACCTAGCAACTAATTTTTATTGTTTGAGTTTTGATGTTTGTTTCCTTTTCCTCTTAGCTGTGGAATCAGATGAAAGATCTTCTTGAGAAGTTGTCAACCAGTGAGTCAGCAAGACAGGATTTAGAAACAGAAGTAGAGCGAGTAAGTAAAACAAAAATAAGTACTTATTCAAAGAATAAGAAAACGAATAACGTTTGTTATTTGGTGGTAAAGAGATAATATCAAACTCAGAAAACATAAAATAGGTGAGAAATTTTATTAAAGTTGTTAGCATGTAGTAAACATTGTATTATATTCTACATGAATTTTTGTTGATATTATAAGTATTATTTTTTTCATTTAAAGAGTTGCACTAACCACGTACATTATATTTATCTTATTTTCAGCAAAATAACATCATTCGACAACGAGAGTCTGAGTTTGAGCGCCACCAAGCGGAGGTCAAAGTGTCATCATCAGCACTGGGTAAAGTCCAGCACAGAGCGCAGTCAGCTGAAAGAAGGGTAATTAAAATTTCATCCGATAAAAAACAGTATTGTTAGGTCAGAATATCCAATGCATATGATAAAACTTTAGACATGTTAATGTAAATTATTATGATGAATAGGAAAACTTATTCGTTTATATTATTATGTTTTTTAATCTGTATTATTTTTATTATTAGTGTTACATATATTATATTTCATTTTCGATATTAAAGATTCCAGAGTTACAGCAGGAGGTTGATGATATGCTACTGAAGCTGCAGACAGCACAGCAACAACTAAAAGACTACGAAGCAACACGATTAGAATTACAGAACTGTAGAGAAGAAATTTTGAGATACAAATCTCAAATACAAGACGAACGAATCCAAAGGTAATTTCAAGTAATGCACTTTTTTGCATGCAATCATTTAACTTTCCTATTGTGCTGTGATAATGCTGAAACCCCTGTATATTTTCTGAATCTCCAGTGTTGAGTTATTAACCTGGTTGTTTCTAGAACACAGGTGAGCAAAGTGCAGCCTGTGGGCCACATGCAGCCCGACAACAATGTTGTTGTGGCCTCGAAAATATATTAAAAATTCCATGTGTGCGGTCCTCATCATGGTTTGTGTTACAAAGAGAAACCTCCATTTGGCTATTATACAAATATTGACTGCTCATGAGGGGAATGGTGACATCTATTGCCCCGAGGTGATGTGGAGACCGTAGGCTGAAGGTAGGCTGAAGTGTGCCTACTGTTTTCACGTCGCAACAGGTCAAAAAAGTACTATTTATGAGGGGAATAGTACTTTCTATTGCCCCACTTCTTAACCAATCAGATGCCTAGAATTTATATATGAGGTACAGTATATAATTGTTAATATTTGAGCTTTCAAATCCTCAGATCTTTACAAAACCAGCACATTGAGGAACTTAAGAACCAGTTAGATTTCTTCCGCAATAAGGAAGACCAACTTCACCAAGACAACTCGGAACTCAAGCACAAATTCCTAGAGACAAAGAATAAACTCCACACAATTGAGGACCACAACAAATCCATTAGTGACATGGTAAGATGAAGGCTATCAAGTAGTGGTAATAAAACAAATGACAAATTAAATCAAATTAAGAGAAACGTTTGTGTGTATATATCATTTTAAAGCTTATTATAGAATGTAATTAAAAAAAATTCATGCTTTGTCACAAATTATATGATATTTATTTAAATGCTTATATTACACAGCTTACTTTTTATTATGTAAGCTATTAAAAAATATTTTCTTTGCCAATTACTGTAGAGCCCTTATTTTTTGCATCCTAAAATTTTCGCAGTTTCACTGAACAAAGTATTTTATTATTTTCGCTATTAACATGTTCTTAAAAAATTAATTTTGTGATGTTAACTAGCTACACATTATGTTTTATGAAACTATATTGTTCATCAGACTGAGAACAGTAGTTAAGTGTAGGCATTAGTATTCTACATACATTCATTCTATAAAATATAAATTGTCATTATTTCTGTTATCAACCCCCACATTATTTATTGCATGTTTACATACATAATTTAATTTTTATTTGTGCCACTTGTGGTATATAATTGTTTGTTTATTGTTTTTCCACACACAAAATGTAGTAAAGTTAAGTTAATATATGCAATATAAGTTATAAATAATTTTAAAAAAAACTATTTAGAAGGAGTAAAAAAATAAAAGTGTGTGGATGGTGACCAAAATAAGTTTTAAAACAAACTTTACGGCATGGTCACCGATGAAAATCAGAGTTACAATAAGAAACAAATAAACAATGGAATAAATACATTAAAGTGTCATGAAAATAGTAATACAGATAATTACAGGTATATGATGCAAGTGGAGTTGAATAGATTAGTGCCGAAGATACCTGCATTCCAGTCCCTGCGTCTTTGTTTCAATTCCTGTCATGATAACAGGATTATTAACGATATCAATAACCTTCGGTACACCACGTGTAAAAATATGGTTTTGAGTTAAAACCACTGGTTGGTTGTCTCAAATTTTCGGTGGGATTGCTCTGACTGTCATCAGGAAAATTTAAGTTGTGCAATTCCAAAATCTCAATACTGTATCAACGACTCCTTGTAGATTAAAGAATACTATGCCTTACTACTCAGTACTCAGTCTGATCGATGTGTGTAGTGCCATAAAACATTCTGTGCAGCTTCACAATTATTAAAATCAGTGAATTTACAGGACTGATCTCATGACCAAAACTCAACTCGATTCGCTTAGCCTCATAATGAGACTTTCTATGTAAATCATCTTAAGTGTATATTTGTCTTGTGAAGGGATTGCCACTTAGAATAGGGTTAAATTAATTAAATTTGTAGTGTGACATGTCCTTGACTCCTGTGCCTAATGTTAAATATTATTAAAAAAATAAAATAATGTCTTTTCAATAATGAATCTGTTGCCTTTAAATGTCTAATCTCCACAGCAAAACATGGCTGAAAAGGGCAAGCAGATGCTAGAAGACCAACTAACAAGCCTCCAAAACCAGGTAGAGAAGTTGCAGATTGAACTTCTACAGACAGCAGAGAAACTTCACCTTCAGATCCATAAGTACGATGATCAAAAGAGACACCACAAGAACAAGCTCCAGTCTGCTAGGTACTATTTTTATATGTGAATATTATATGACTACTATTTGTATATTTCAAGACATGCATTTGTTTTGAAAAAGAATTTATCGGTATTTACAAACAAAAAAGGCAAAGTTAATAATATTTTAAATCCTGTAATGTAAACATATATGAATATATGTGGTATGTTCCCATGAATTAGGTGAAAAGTTATCATTTTATATTTCCTTAGCTTAGAATGATATAATTTATTTGGTTACAGTTTGTTTAATCAAGGGAGTAGTTGCTATTGAGATTTTGGTATTGCACAACTTAGATAAACAGCTTAAAACTTAGCATGCATATGCAGGTTACACGAGCTATGCATGACTGCACTTATACTGATGAACAGTTACAAATATGATATTCGACTATTGTGCTGCCTAAATATTATGCACTATAATTAAAAATAATCAAGATATTTAAAAAAAACAATAAAATCTAATCAAGTGTATATTTTTAGACTTGAAATTCATTATTGATTTTTCCCTAAGTATTTATACCTTAAAGGTTAAAGGTTATAACCTTATTGAGAACTCTACATAAAATTTGTATACAGACCTGATATTCATTCTTGATTTAAAAAAAGTTTACTCTTATGGGAACACATTATATATTTCAGTCTTCCAAACTGAACCAGAGTCCAATATCTCACTAATAAGGTGTAATAAACGATAGCAGGAAAAGGAACTGAGTCTTTCAGGAGGAACTAATACTCAATTTAATATATCACCTGAACGTTATTGAGGAAGATCTTGGATGTGTATCCTGATATCTTTCCTCAAGTGTTTATTTTTTGCTGTTTTCATTTGTGGAATAATTTCACAAACTTGAATCAGAATCTTTGGAAATACATTGCATCATTTATACGACATGATATTATTTAAGTAAAAAAATTGAATGCATCTCAAAATTCTACCAATAAAATGGTTTATTCTGGAAATTTGTTGGCCGTGTGTAGAACACCAACAATCAAAATCAAATCAAATTGGTAAAAACCAAAGAAGAGAGTTTATGAGGGACGTCCCCTTCCATAGTAAGCTCCAGCATTATTGCCAGTGGGGAGAGTGTTTTATCGAGGCAGATAATTACTAAACAACACTGCATGGGATAATGAATACTCTTTCAATAAATGTGCATTTCAGGCAGATTTTCACAAGACATAAAATGATTCTGGCCGAGAGTTTGAATAAGCTGCAGGAGGAGCTGACCAGCGCGAAAAAAGACTTGCAGCAGGAACTACAATGGAAGAACAACATGGAGACCAATCACAAACAGCTATTGTCCGAGCATCGGGAACTTTTAGCCAAGTATGATTAATATTAAAAATAAAAGTATTTAAACTTGTTTAGTTTAAAATATAAAAAAAAGAACAGAAATTCTATTATTACAATGGTGCCAACAACAACGGTGGTGGGTCAAACACTCAGTTACCACTGAAATTCTGTAAGTCTGAATAGTTTCAAATTTGGTAGAATGCAATGAATGATTTTGGTGACTGTGAAAATGTTTATTAATATTTTACACAATTATTCAAAGCGTACAAACTATTAGTTACCGCAATTCGCAAATTTGTGTTTATTTTTTGCATACAAAGGAACGTACACACATGCAGGGTTCTGGTTTAAACTTAGCTGGCCATTCCTGTACTCTGTGGCATAAGTTCTGTAAGACCTAATGCAAATTTCTTAATCTGCAGTGGGGAATTCACTTGGCCCAAACTATAAGCCAAATGAAAATTTAAACTATAGATGCATTCTACATTCTTGTTTTGACATACTACAACATTAAAACTGCAAGTGACAATAACAAACATCACTATTGTTGATTTTAACATTTTCTTTTGTAAAGGTTTAGTGAAAATGAAGAGCTGTCCAGAGACCAGTCTCGTAACCTAGCAACGATGGAATACCGTTTGAAGTTTCTGGACCATGAGAATGGCGTTCTTCAAGAGCGAGTAGATGCACTCAGCAAGCAGCGGATTGCTCTTGAAAAACTTGTTAGGGAATATCGTTTAGAGAAACAAAAAGAAGTAATTATGGAACCAGAAACAAATTGCTTCATTTAAAAGAAATTATAGTTTTTTTTTGTTGGTTTGATTTTGTTTTTTTTTTAATATAGCAGTTATAAAGATTCTCACTATTCTTATTACTGTTTAGCATAATATTATTAACTCCTTTCTACATAGGAAATCAACAAGGCTGTGTCACCAGGAAATATTCCATTGAGTCTCCCAATGTCATCCTTTAGTTATGGAGCACCAAAGGCATCCGTTAGCAGCGGGCTAGGAAACTCCATGAGGTACGAATCTGCTAATTTTTTCATTATTATTTTGTGACGCCTCTGCATTCTGTGCTAATAAAGTGTAACTATATTATTATTAGCATTTTTGTTATTATCATCATCATCATTATTGTAATCTCGTCATAATTATCATAATCATCATCTCCATCACAATTATGTTCATCATCATCATCATTACCATCATCATTATTATATTTTCATATTCTTCATCATCATCATTTTTATCATAATTATAAAATCTGCTCTTGCTTCTGACAAGTTTTTCACTATTTTGTCGTCTGGCAGTTAAAGATGGCTGAAAGTGTAAGTCTGGCAGAGGAGCATGATGGGTCATGTCTGATCTGAAGTACCGTATTACTGTACAAAGTCTTTAAAAAAATACAACACCACACATTTTCTGATAACCGAATCCCTTGTGGATACTTTATTAGTAAACATAATACAGTAAGGGAGTATAGGGCATAGACACAGGCTTCCGCTGGGAGCCTCTTTTCTAAATTCTTGATGCTAAACGATGTAATGTTTTTTGTTATTCTCCAGCTATACACCATCCCTTGATTACCATCCCCATGAAAGTCTTCTGTCTGTACGTTCACCAAGCTCTGGTTATCCACACATAAATGGCTATGTGAACAACGCCCGTAACCTGTCCAGCACCGGAAGAACATTAGACAACGAAAGCACTGAGGTTGACTCCGAGACATAAAACAAGATGATTATTATATCACTAAGGTCCAAAAACAAGTGTATTATGGGTGAAAAGTAGTGTTTAATTTTATTGGAAATAAACGCAGCAAACAGAATATTTGTGTCTATTGTGATGAGGTATACTGTTGATCACCATCGATTATGTGTGAACTTCGAAATTTGCCTCATACCATGTTTTTATATCATAGGTTTGTATACAATTATTTCTGTTGAATTGAACTGGCTTAATGTTGTTAACACGGTGAACATTATATACAAGCCTAGTCATTATTTTTTACCACATATGGCTAGAGAGAGCCCTCAATCAGTTGAGATGGGGTTAGATAAATTCAGTCATTTTATATATCTGTTAATAGTAGTTTGTGTTTGAGTATATGTAGCAAAAAAATTATTGAAGTGCTTGTAAAAAAGCTTAAACTGTTTTGTATTGTTATATTTTGTTTGATATTTTGTATGATGTGATATATAATATTAAGTGTAATATTTTCTGAGCCATTTTTTATCCGTCCAAAATAAAAACCTTGATATATTTGAAACATAAATAGTACCAAGTAATCATGAAAATATAATTATTACGTAAAACTTAATAAATTGCATTTTTTTTTAAATTCATTTTATTATTTTTACCATTAGTGTCGAAATTTACTTTGGTATTATATGCAATTATATTTTATCATACAAATGCAATTTTATAATAATGTTCATACATTAAACTTGGTTTTATATTCTAATTTTTAAAAATAATTTTATTACTGATTAAATTTGTTATATTATTTATCATTGATTAATTTATCTATCATTTTCTTCATATTTATTATTATTATTAATTCCAATGTTACCAGTGTAAATATTTACGAATATTATCATTTTTTATTACGGATGGAATCTGCCAAACCTGATAAATTTTGTACATGAAATTATGTGGAACAATGGCAAGTGTTTGGCCTTACAATTGTTTAGTTGTGGGTTTGAATCCAGTGGTGGTCATATGTTCATGGGGCAAGGCCTTGCCACTGTCCACCCAGGATTAGAAATAGGTACCTGGTAGGATGTAAACAAATTAAAAGTAACAACAATAGTGATAACAATAATACAAAATTTAATGTCACTGATGTTCTATGAATAAATTGTGAATAGAATAATAATGTTCTTATAATTACATAACATATTTTGCTAATAGGTATTGTAGATTTCTAAAAAGCATGTTTTCATCGAATCAAACACTTAAGTAACATTATAACATTGCGGCAATAATCAGGACATAACATGTGAGGCAAAAACATAATTTGATTCAGCACATTGTTGTTTCAACCTATCCGGTACCCACTTGCACTATTGGGGGAAAGAGGTGGGGTAGAGAGTGACAACCATAAATGTAAAGTGCCTTGCCCAAGGACGCAAAACGGGATTCACAGTGAAGCAAGGGATCGAACCTCCGACCTCGTGGTTGAGAGTTTGAATGTTATTTGATGCGTCAACAGCTCCCACATTTTGTATGACCGTAGTAACATAATAAACGCATAGTAGATTCTTGCAATATTATACAAGTCCCACTAACATACCTTATCACTCTTGATTACTGTTAGTCTATTGGGAATCAGTCGTTAATTTACATATGAAATAGTGTTAGGCCTGTGTTGTTTAGTACCAGTAAGTATATTTGTATTTAAATTAGTCTCTGTACAGGGTATAGTACTGTGTGTTTTTATATATTTTTGTAAAATAGCCTGGAATTTTTATACTTAAAATGCTGATGTTCCAAAAAGCGACCGATTTTTTTTATTCCTAATAAACAAAAGAATTCTTTGATGCATTTTGTATCTTATATGCAAATTAATGAAACATTAACTCTCATTTATAAAAGGCAAAGTTCATTCTAGTTAGCACTGTTCAGTACTTTATTTCAGTTAACAAGTCGTTACGTGGATGTGAAGAAATAATCCGTCACTAAATTGATATGAAGAAATATAATCTGTCCACATTTGTAAAAAGTAATATTTATTGCCAAATTGTATTATAAAGTTCTATGCCTTAGCATTTCCATTAATAAGTTACTTGTACAGTAGTTCAAACTTTTTTAAACATAAAATACAATGAACAAAGAGAATGTTGCAAGGTTTTTTAAGTAGTATTTTTATGTGGGCCTTTCTAATATTAAAAAGTTGAGTTGATTTTTCAACAGAATATATGTATGATAGCGAACAAATAAGATTTAAAATAGTATATTGTATTCCAAATTGTTTCTACATCTTTAGCAAATGTATTTTTGAGGCAACATTTTCTGAGAGAATGCTGATTGATTAATTTGCCAAAAAATTGGTTTACAGTGTTAAAATGATCAGTGGATAAAATTTGATAAAATAATATATAATATATAATCATCTATGTGTAATATAGACGTTTATTCTTTATATAATGATGACTATATAAATTCAGTGGATTAAGGGTTTTTGATGCAGCATCAGTATGTATGGCCAGGAAGCAGTCATACATCTGTTCCTGGGAATGACTTGTTTTGAACTGAATATTCATAGGGAAAACTATGACAACTTATTTGCAAGTATTACCATGGATACAGTTGCTATGGTTTTAAATAAATGTTACTATGGTATTTGAAACACGATGGATAGAGTTGCCAACAAAGATACTGTATCCATGGTAGCTCATAGTAATGCTAGATGTTGTGGTGTTAATGTATTACAAAGCAGTATAATTTGCGTCCAATATTCATTTGTCTTTAGCTTCTTCAGTATTTTCTGTATGAAAAATAGATTATGCTACTATTTATATTGTATTAAGAGGGTTTTGCCACACGTTCAAGTCAAGTATTTTACTGTCATGTGTAAAACTAAATTTCATAGGACTGGAAATCCTTTTTCGGCAGAGAGAACTTCCTGCTTAGTTTAAATTTCGAAACTGCAACAAATCCGAAATCCGCTTAGCTCTGTTGTTACCTAGCTAAAACAAGCCATGTGGAACTTTGACATAATCAAAATTAACTTCAAAATATACTGTGTAAATTAACTTCTAAATAATAAATACTGTCGTGTGTAAAACCAAATTTCATAGAAATCGAAATCCTTTTTCCGCACAGAGAATTTCTCTACGGATTTAAATTTCGAAACTGCAACAAATCCGAAAACCGCTTCGCTCTGTTCTTACCTAGCTGAAACAAGCCATGTGTAGTTTTGACATAATCATAACTTCTGAATATCGTATGTAGGACCAGCATGAAGACCAGTTAAATCGGTAGAAATACGCATGAAATAATGACGTTACCACATTTTTTGTTTTCTCATAAATATATTGAACAACGCGTGTGGCAAAATCAAAATTTGTTAGTACTGTATTACTGTATATCAGAATGTTGTTAACACGTGTGCTTGATGGAATGTATTTGTAATAAAGCTGTACATTTCTAACTGAGTTGTGCGAATTTTTTTTTTTTTTACATATAAACACATTTGAGGACACTAAAAGAAAAATAAAGGTGTCTGCACATGCTGGGCTCCGTTTGGAGAAGTCAAGTATAGGTACAATGTCGCAAGACGTTCAGAGTTTCCATAATGATATATTTTACTGAGAGCGAATCTTGATTTAAAAAAAAAATTCTTACCTAAAATAAAAATTAACAAGAGAGTGCTCATGTAATTTAATGTCTCTTTTTTTTATCGCTTTATATAAGATAGGATTACTAAATCTTGTTGGACCCACAGTTTTGCAAGTTTACAATCTCTAAAATATTAGGGATTAACTGCGTTCAGCAAAACTTCAGAACTCGTCCCACCAATACCAGACTTTTCATCCAGAAAGCTTTTGATGTAGTTAGACGCATCAGTTATTTAATTTTCTCTTATGAATATCTCCACAATAATTTCCAAATGGAGGGGTTTTTGAATCGCAGTTAAGGTCAGCATCTGTACCAGTGTTAAAAATATATATTTAAAGTGTTCACGACTAATAGAAATCCGAAAAAAAACATTGCTCTAAAAGTTTTTCAAGGCCTATCATTTTTATTGAATTAATATTTGCCGTGTTTTGAAACTCTCTAAAAAATTAACGATTTTTACTCTTTTTAATACTTAAAAAGTTTTTTGTTCGCATTGGTCTGAATTCACTTGAACTTTTCTTGGTTGTATTTTTTCGATTTGTGCTTTATTTCGAACCATCCGTTTCTTTTTGCGAATTCCGTAGGGAATTTATGTACTTTTTGATATAGTCAAAACGGTTTCCCATAATCTCATGCTTTCATCATAATCTAAATAGTTATAAGGCTACAGCCTAGAATCATTATTCCATGCAGAAATTAGCAATAAATGTATAATCATGTGCGACTATACTCAAAAGAGGTTCTGCACAGTAAACGATGATGATGATAATCAAACTCAGGACCTGTTTTTTCATTAAGTGCCCTAAATATAACGTATTTTAGTACTGTATTTGATAGAAAATATTCTATTATCTGAAATAATAAAAGCAATAACAATATTGCAAGATTATCTCAATACAATCAGTAATCTTTTAATAATCTATATTAGCATCTTTACCACCTTATACCTGTACCATAAAATCACACTAAATATAAAACAACGTCCACAACAAACATAGATTTTAACATTTAATAAAATAGAATAGAGCATACATTTTCATTAAATATTTTAAAAATCAATTTGAAATGCTGTACTAAGGTTGACAAGTATTTCTAAGCTAACACAATTATAATGCATTATACTTACCGTATGTAATATGTAAATTAGGACAATGAAAAAAAAAAAGAATTTGGAGAAAAGTGTTAGTTAATTTGATGGCAAATGATGTGGGTGACTGCCCCCCCACCTAAAATTTTAAACATACCAAAATTCCTGGCCACAATAATCAGCGATATTACATGTTTACCAATACATCAAAAATGTTTTTGTTAAACATTGAGATTAATTGATTTACTGTGTAACATTGTTAGTTTCCATAAAATAATTGGTTGCAGATAACATTGCTGTATATTTTGACTGGTTTTTAATGACTAGGTGTGGCACCAGTGATCTGGCAATTTGGGCCTGGTATGACTCAATGGGTATACAGGACAAAGCATGTCGGCGCACAATTTTAGTATTTTCTAAGCTAAAGACAGCAGAACTTCATGGCATCTGGAAGTGACATAACCTAATTTTTTGTTTGCATAATGGCATCATCTTTTTTTGGTTTTTATACCACAAACTTTCAATTTTGTGATTATAATAAATTGGTAAAGTTTTGAACTTCGTTAAATACAACATTTACACAATCACCAATGTTGTGAATAGCTCCTGAGCATGAATATGAATATTGTATATAACCATTCAACAGACAAGGCCCTAAATCTTAAAAAAAAAAAAAGTATCTTCTTTGCAAGTATTTAAGAAGTGCTGTAAATATTATTGCAAATAAGTAATCGATTTCAATTGCCAAAGGAATTATTTGTTTGCACAAAAAACTAACACCATAATTCTAACAGATATGTTAATTGCAGTGTTGAGGCCCAACTTCTTTTTGGGGTATAGCACATATATTTCCACTACAGATTTTTTAAAGACATTTTCTATTAGTGATAACCTATAATTTTCATGAAGTCATGGAGTAAAAAATATGCATGTGTGTCTAAAAATTAAGATACTAAAACTTAATGCATACATTGTATTAAATAATTTAACAATTGATTATATCAAATTTCTTTTACAATACTATATGCCATATTGTACAATAATTTATGACATAATCAATAAAAACACATTTTCCCCTAATATCTAGCTGTTGTCAGATTTGGTTGTTTCCCTATGGAAACATCAAACCATACATAAGAAAGGAAACATTACTCATGGGATTTATAGCTTGCAGTATTATTTCTTGAGGATTTTTTACAATAACACAATCCATTTAAATGGATAATTCTAAGTTCATATCAGATATTGTATAATGTCATCCAAAAAGAGCTAATAAAATTTGACTTTTAGGCTCAAGCAAATTCATATATGTACACAAATTTACACAAAGCAATCAAACAATATCGTCTGTTAATTCAATTAGTTTCCATAAACGCTTTCATCGCTGTATGCAATGTAAAGGAAGAAATCTTCTTCATGATGTTCCTGTAAGAGATCACAAGAAAAAACCATCACTAATTGGACATATAAAAACGAAGCAGAACTTGGACAACAGCAGGTATTTTTTTTTTTTTTCAGAAAGCAGCTGAAAAATTTAAGCAGGATGATTACAGATTCAATTTAATTTTTATTTTATTACAAATTAAAACAAATCATTTGAATAATATAATTTTTTTTTTTTTTTTTTTTTAGAATCGGAATTTATATAGCGCCTTTCACAATCACAATTATACAAGGCGCTGGCACCATATTTCCCTGGTAACTGGATACTGAATTGGCAGATCCGCACACTCTGCAACTTTCTCTGCTCTCTGGGGATCCCTGGTCGCTGCTGCTTGAACGCGCACAACCCATATATTCAATGCCATACTATCCTACCAGGTACACATTTATACTCCTGGGTGGAGAGAGGCAAATGTAAGTAAAGTGCCTTGCCCAAGGACACAAGCAATGCCCAAGATACTGTACAGTATTGATACACGAAGCCTACCCCTTAGATATTGTTCCTCCCACAAAATGACAGTGAAAAGTGCATGTTAACACTTGAATTTGTTGGACAACACGTGTGTGTGTGTGTGTGTGTGACAAGCATGTATTCCTGAGATATCGCATAGATAGATGTAATGGATGTATGATTCCTCTTTACAAAATATCATTTATTATTTTGTTCCCGATTCCAGATGTTTTTTACTTACCTGGTATAATTGACCCATTGTTGCACTTGTTGGTGGAATTGCATTGTTTACAAAGAAAAACAGTGCATCTTCTGGTCTCAGTTGAATCCGCTTCCGAATTAGAAAGTAGAACTGCCCGACTAACGAGTAAAAAAATACACCCAAGAATATTTGTAAAATGTGTAAACCAAATGATTCATTGCATAATATCAGTCCCTGTTACAGCACCTATTTTCACTCACATTTTTTAATTTATCACTCACCACAGGCACTTTCGCTGACTGTTGGAAAGAAACTACTGTCACCCCAATTCACAAGGTGGCAACACTTCAGACCTCAATAACTACTGTCCTATTTCTATCCTCCCTATATCCTCTAAGATCATTGAAAGGGCTGTCCACACTCAACTCTACCATCACCTTTCCACTAACAATCTTTTCTGCCCTAATCAATCTGGACTTAGACCTGGCTTCTCCACGCTTGAGAAATGCCCGAAATCATAAACTTTGAAGGCTGATATCTCATAATCGTTCTTTAAACAGCTGTACTGTATGTTTAAACACTTGTAGATTCATAAAGAAATGTCGGATTTGAATTATTTTTTTACCATTTTATAGCTCTTTACTCTTTCACACTGTTTTAATAACTCAAATCAATTTTTGCGACAAGTGACTGGTTTGGCTTGTCTTTGCCACATATTAATGGCACTCAACTCTAACAAGTACATACACATAAGCACCTTGGTTTAATAATTCTGACAAACTTACATTTAATTCACACATATCCGCAGCCTCTGTTCAAAACTCGTTCTCTACAGCTCTCCTAGCATGAGTGCAGAGATTCATTGACACCCACACAGCACTTCACACTAATACTAACAAAATTCAAACTCTTCAAAATAAAGCACTTCGTATTGTATTAACACCCATTCACACCATCAGCCACCCTTTTCACAACACTTAATGTTCACAACATCTCACAAAGAATCAATCTACAGCTTGGCTGCCTAGCATACAAGTCTGCTGCTGGTGTCGGTCCAGACTACCTCTGCAAACTATTCACCAAAGTCCAAACCAGAAGCATGTCTACTATAGCATGTACTGCTGGTCATTTTAATTTGCCCAAGCCGAGAACTGAAATGTAGTCAAAAGTAGTTTTAGCTATAAAGGTTCCTCCTATCTTAATTCACTTCCTAATGCTATACGGAACAGCAATACTTTTTAGTTTAATCTTTTAAAAATAAATCAAAAAAAGCACTCAAATTTAGTTAAAGACTGATTTTATAGAAATTGAAATTTTTAAAATAAATTTGATCGATTTTTGAGAATAACTTATAGTTTTATTGCAATTGTTCTTAAATTTTATCGAAAATCTATTTTATCATCATTGTGCTTTCTGTGTTTTACTGTTGTTACTGTATGTTTTGTTTTTGTTATGAGGGCCTCTTTGAGTCAGCCTCGCCTGTAAGAGCCACCCTCATAAAATAAAGTTGGTTGATTCAATACAGTACCACTTTGACAGACATATTAAAAACAGGGTTTCTTAATTAAGGAACATAGGACCTAGCTGTTTTCGGTAGGTAAAATTTGCACAGCATTTAATATTAGTTTTAACATGTTACGTATGACTGTGCTATTTTATATGTTCTGACGCAAAATATGTCACTAAAATCTTACCATTTGGCAATTTGATCATTATAGAAAATGATTCTTTTTTAATAAATATTTATTGCACATAAATACTCTCCATATAAATACCATACCTGTTAGGTCTGACGGTACCAAGTACTTTTTCTTGTCTAAATCACCAATTCGTGCTTTTGCTGCCTTTTCAACGATTACCTTTTTAAAAAAGATGAAAATTTATTGCATTTTATCAAAAAAGAACTAATGATTGATAAACTTGAGTGGGATTTTTTATACTAAATACTAAGTAAAATACCATTACTTTTTACCTAGGTATGTATTGTAAACAACCACTCAGTTTCACTGTTAAAATATACTTAAGTATGCACGATACTTAACACTTGATATATTTGTGTTTTTTTTGTTTGTTTTTTTGCTTTGAATTCTGATTGTTTATGAAATGCTTTTTTTTTCACCTTTTGATGACGATTAATATTCTTGGTAGTTTAATGTTTGAAACTGTAATTTTGAACTTCGATAATTATTCTTTGTGGTTATTTTTCAAATGTTCCAGTGGGTTTTAAACTGTTTTTCTTGTCTTTTGTTTTGTTGATTTAAATGCTTGTCAAATTTCAATTCAGTTGTGTTTACTACCATTGCTTGTTTTGTGCATGGTTGTTTTTTGTGAATAAAGATACCAGAATATATATAGGTCAATTCAAACGGAAATACTGTAACAATATGTGATGTAATAAAAACAGGTTCCAGATTCTTCGATTCCATTGTGTCGTCTTAGCACCATCCCAACAAACAGTGTTTACTGTTACACGCCGCTTTACTAGGCCTAGCTGAGAATCATTACAAGCCTATCTGGGTTAGGCCTAACCTAGGCCTAAGAAGGATTGAGTAAATTTCGAGTGACCATGTAGGTATGTGCTGTAGTTGATAATTCAATACAAATGGATGAAGTGTATGGTTTAGAATGAATAATCTACAAAATAGATACAGTACGTGGTTAATGATGAAAACTTTATTTATTCAAATCGATTACGTCAAAAAACGACAAACCCGAAATGGCAACTACTTTAAACTTACTGGTACTCTATCAGGATACTTCTTTCTTATTTTCTCTCCTTCTTGTCGCCTTTTCTCAAAGGGATGTTCTTCCTTGTATTGCCATTTCATTGTCATATTTAACGTATAGACTTCTGTAAATCTGCCTACAAAATGATGACGATATTGTTCACTTTCCGAAATTCTCGACTCCTGACTAAAATGGCGTCTTGTTTATTATTGTGTTCGGCGTATCACTGCATAAGGGAATTTAAAAAGTAGTGCCAAGCAATGTCGATATAAACTAAAATTAGTATATGCTTGAATAAGATATGTGAGTTAACAAATACAATTTTTTCGTCTCATAATATCTCATATTAATGAAAATATACATATATATTTTTGTAATTCCTATTGAAATTGAGAAGGAATCTTGCGCGGAATACTATGCACCGGATCTCACTATTGATGTCGTCACATTTATAAAAATCTTATAAAAATAGAACATGACATCATTATTGGGGATTTCCTTATCCCAATGAATTGTGGGCACTAAACATTGGTATAATGATGGAGGAATTTAGTCTAAACTAATTCCTCCATGGTATGATTAATCACGATGTTTATTGTATTCATTGTATGATTAAGGAAGGTATAAAAATCAGTCAAATACCTGAATAGTAATCAGTTTAATTCATAAATTTCATTGTAGATCCACGCTAACATTGGGAACAAAATATCTCGATGATCAAAATACGGACGACAAATGTTGTACAATGATAAAAGTAACAAAACTCGAAACGTCGTTCCTTTTTAAGGGTAAATTTTTCTATTAATGATTTGATATAAAAGTAAAAGGAACAAATGGTATCCTCAGGCCATAACCAAATAATGATTACAAAATATACACACAGTAGGCTTATGGTAATGCCAACACAGGCCGCCATTCAAGTCCAAGTACAGTACCCTATCATATTGAACCAGGAAGTAAAATAATGCTTTTAAAATTCACTACAAGTAGTGTAATTCACAACATAGCATGTAAGGCCTATGTATTTTATTATTTGATGTTATGCATGCTGGTGATGAAAGGAGGCCGTACCACCGTCCAATTAAATTTAAACTAAGAAGCAGTTATTCATTTTATTATTAGTATTACTTTAAGTTAAAGTTGTATTTTTTATTTATTCGCATATATTTATGTACATGTGTTTATGAATATATATTTATGATTGCATGTATGTATTTGTTTGTGTAAGTATATATATATACATATATATATATTATATATATATAT